CCATGGTCGGCTGCTCCAGTGATCTCAGGGGGTTCAGTCCATGGTCGGCTGCTCCAATGATCTCAGGGGGTTCAGTCCATGGTCAGCTGCTCCAAGGCAGGAATATCATTGTGGATGGGCATGGAGGAGGAAAAACACTCACATCATGGTGGCCAGGAAGCAGAGAGAGAGAGAAGGGAGGAGCTGGGACAAGAAATCACCCTTTCAGGTCACACTCGAGTGACCTCCTCCAACCAGGAAGTCATCCATGATGGATCGACTGGTGAACACAGCACCCCATGACCCAGTCACCTTCCACGCACCCGACACTTTTGGGTGACATGTTCAATCTAAACCACAACAGTAAGCTTCTAATGTCCCCTGCTCATCCTGCCCAAGATAGGCAGAATGTACAGTAGACACACCCAGAAAGCCAGAGGCAGCATCCTTTCCTGGCAGAACTTCCTGTTTTCCTGGCCGAACCACCACATCCATGGATCCCAGGGTAACCCATGGACTTGGGCGGAGCATCCCACAGTGCCCAAGAAGGACACAAGGCTGCAGGAATGAAGATTTCCCAGGCCTCATAATCAGGAGGACACCCCAAGATGGGAACAGTCACCATCCCAGCTTGTGGGGGCTTTGGTCAGACTTCCCTTGGTTTACAGGAAGCAAAGCATTTCCTCACATGTCACTTCTTTTTAGTTTGTGCACCAGGGTTCGGGAGTCAGGGGTACTAGGAAAGTGCTGGTGTGCTCGCATGTGAGCAGGTTTCTCCCATACACTGCACTCACAGAGGGACTCTGGTGCATCCTTCAGCTTTCTTTCATTGTGAAAACAGCCTCGAGAAAATCAGGTCCAGAGGAGGTGTATTTTGGCTCATGGCTTCAGAGCTTTCAGTCTGTGGTTGCCTGTCTGCATTGCCTTGGAGTCAGGGCAGGAACATCAGGACAGAACGGCGTGGTGGAGAAGATGTACTCAGGATGGAAGCAGGAGGAGGACCGGGCTGGAATCCCACGAGCCCCTTCAGGGCCACGCCCCAGTGACCTCACTTCCTGTCCTAGACTCCACCTTTTAAAGGTCCCTCCATCTTTTTTCTATTCCATGAAGTTTATTGGTACATTTTAGGCATACGTTATGATCTCATGGTTCCACTGTCTTTAAACTCAGCAGCTCCCTGCGCCTCACAGTAAGCCTCCTGGAAATATTCAAGATCCAGACTATCACACTTTGATATTTTTAGTGTCCAAGAAGGTTACAGCTGGTCTGGAGAGTTTCTCCAAATGATGTCTCTTGGACCTGCCTGGTGGAGATCCTGTTCAGCAGCCATGTGCATGAAGACCATGGGAGACTTTCTGTTCCGAGCGACTTCTAACACCCTAGGCAAGCTAGCTTTTGTGCTTTTCTTGCTTTTCTATTTTTTATTTTGCTCTTAAAGAGACCCGCCAAGTTTTGGCACACAGTTAATACATCAGATATAAAATAGTGTTTTCCTTTGCTTGCACGTCTAAAATAGACCCCGACTGCCTATGTCTGGCCTCTCTGGCAAGCTCAACAGTGATTTATCAAACACAAGAATCGTGCAAAGTAGAACTCCCAGAGCGCTGTCTCATTATTTACACCGCACATGCAACAGTTTTCCTCATGTGCTGTCCCCTTCCCCATGTTTGAAAATTGATGGGCTGTTAATGACCGCACAGGATTTATGTTCTGTCTTTGCCAGGCATTGCCCTGTAATTCTAGCAGATGGATTTCTTAAGATAAAGAAAATTATTGATAGATTCTTTTCTCTACCCAGGCAAAAGTGCCTGTCAATGGTGACCCTGAAATATAGCAGCTGTGCTTCTGCAGCTGTGTACTTAGTTCGTGTTCATTCGTTAATTCTTTTACTATGTCAGGACCGAGGAGCAGGAAGACTCAGGAGTTCATAAAGAAAGGGGTGTCTCGCCAGGTACTCACTCTGTGAGGCTGAGGCAGGAGGACCTCAACTTTGAGCCAACCTGGACGACTTAGTGACTTAGGAAGATCCTGTCTCAAAATTCTAAAAAATAAAATTAGAAAAAGGACTGGAGTTGTAGCTCAGTGTGAAGGCCTGGGGTTGAATCCCCGGCTCTGCAAGAATAAATCAGTATATAAACAAGTAGAATAAAATTTAAAAATAAAGAGGAAAAGACAGGATGCAGTTGGCAGCTGAGAAATCGCATGCTTGTACCCGTTTCCTGTGGGCGGGTCGAGGATGGGATGTTACTCGGTTTCCCCTGGGTGGTTTCCCGGGGAACAGGCTGCCTGGTTATCTGATGTCTTCCCCGCTGGAAACAATGGCACCCAGGAGCCCTCAGTCCCTACCTCCGCTTGGGGTGATTGAAGCTGTCACGTGTACCCCTCCTACCCCCAGCACCCTCTGTGTTTCCACTGTTGAGTCTAGTATGTCACCTGGCCGGGGTGATCAGAAACGCGGTGACTGCTCTGCTGGGCGCCGTCCAGTGGAAAGGCAGCTCGTGAACACACGACGCTGTGTCCTCCTCCACCCGAGTCACCGCAGCTGGCACCGTGCGACTCCCGGCTCCTCCCCAAGGTCAGGATGACCCGGAAAGGTCACTGATCTGAGTCCACTCGGGACATCGAGGCAGCCGGAACGGCGCAGCTAAAGGCCCTCAGGAAAGAGGACTCCAGAGCTGCTGCAGACAGCGGCCAGGACGGCGGGAGGAGGGTGTGCACAGCCAGGGAGGAATGACAATGTGGTTTTTATTGTAATAATTCCTTATGTTAACCTTGACTGTATTTGTCTTTTATTTATTTTGCACTTTTCTTATTCTTTCACGTTTGCAGTACTTTGTTTGAAGTTGATCCGTGTACCCAACACAGCTTAATTGCTTTCCATCCCTTTCACTCCCCTCGCCCTCCCTCCACCTCTTGGCCCCCTTCCCAATGGTTCCTTTTCTCCCTGCAGCCTAGCCAGTATTTATGATTACTTTTTCTTTTTCTTTCTTTCTTTCTTTTTGGTACGGGGGGGTGGGGATTGAACTCGGGTCCTTGTGCTTGCCAGGCAGGCTTGGTGATAGCCATTGTTTCTGGGGTGAGGTGGAATCCCAGTGCTGTTTACATGTGCATTGCTCTCATGGCACAAATGTTGACGTCTCTTCATGTACTTACTAACCTTTGTACTTCTGTGAGGCTTCTATTCATTTCCCTCGCTAATTTTTTTATTCTGTTCTTTATTTGGGGCAGTGTCTAGCTTTTGAGTTCTTTATATATTCTATCTAGACATTCTTCTGAGGAATCGCTTGATTCTTCTTTCCATTTCTGTAAGTTGCCTCCTAATTCTGTTTCCTTTGCTGTGTGGAAGCTCTAATTTGAGGCCCTCCCATTTGTTGATTCTCGGTGCTATTTCTTGTATCTTTGGGTTTCTATTCCAGAAGTCCTTGCCTACACACGTGTCTGCAACAGTTCTACCTGTTTTATCTTCCAGAAGAGTAAGTGCTTCTGTTTTGACATTTAGATTTTTGATCCATTTTGATTTTAGCTTAGTACATGGCGAGAGATGTGGGTCCAGGCTCAGCCCTCTGCAGGCGAAAAGCTCGTTTTCCCAGCCTTGTTCATTACAGAGGCTGTCTTTCTGGCAGTGTGTGTTTTGGGCCCCTTTGTCAAAGATCAGATGGCCGAGGATGTGTGTCTGTCCTCCGTTCGGTCCCCCTGAACCTCCTGTCTGTGTTTGTGCCAGTGCCGAGCTGTGTTTGTCAGCGTAGCTTTGCGATAGAACTTGAAATCCAGAACGGCAATGCCTCTGCTTCTCTGTCATTGCCCAGGGTTGCCTTTGGTCTTCTGAGTCTCCCGTGGCTGCATATGCATTTGAGGGTTGATTTCTCCAGACCCACGCGGCGCGCTGCTGCTATCTGACTGGGATTGTATTACATCTGTATAACGTGTTGGTAGTATAGGCATTTTGACTACATCAGTGCTATTATGATTATTATTTTCCCAATTTCTTTCTCAGTGAGTTTATTCTTGGTGGAGAGGAACGCTCTTGATTTTCCCGTGTGGGTCTTGCATCCTGATACATTGGTCAATGTGGTTGTTAATTCCAGGAGTCCTGTGGTGGGGATTTTTGGGTCTCCTCCGCAGAGGGACATTCACCATATTGGCCGATCGTCCTCCTGTGCATTTGGTGGCCAGGACACCACACTGGGCAGCCTTTCGTCCAGTGGGAGAACTGTGTTTGAAACCAGGGGGAAGAATTTTTTTTGAGGGGTGCTCATGGCAAGGTGTCTTTTGCTGTCATAATTTAAAACAATATTCTAATAGAACATTAGTTCTGTTAGTATATTAGTAATAATAACCTAATTTAAAAGTTCTAATAATTCCTTAAATTACGTATTCTGTAGTTTCAAAAATATTTACAGTACATATGCTGTTTTGTTTGATTTATACAGTAGTTAAAAGAAGAGTAGTTTTTGTGCTGTTCTCAATTTCTTTCTTTTTTGTAAGAGTCTTTTTGGTCCATGGTTCGCACTGTAACATTTTGGCCATTCTTTTAAGATTGTGGTACACAGGGTAGTAAGTATTGCTGTCCTGTAATTTGTTATGAAATTTCACTTCATCTTCTTCGTAGAAGGAAGAATGTTTTAAAAAATATTTTGTGTATTAATATCTACTTGTACTAACATTGAAATAAAAATGAAATAATAGGGGGCCGGGGATTTAGCTCAGTGGTTTCGCCGCCTGCTGTGCAAGCGCAAGGACCCGAGTTCGATCCCCAGTACCAAAAAAAAAGAAAAGAAAAGAAATAAGAAGAAGTGAGACACATAAAAAACCATTGAAACGTTCACCTTGTTCGTCCGTCACTTCCTGTATCCAGCTGCCCTGGCTGCTGACCATGGAGACGCAGAGCCCTCTACACGTAAATCAGAAAGACAGGGGCCGAGGATTAGCCGGGCTTCACTGCACGAGCGAGGGGCCTCAGAGTCTGGGGGCCAGATGCATAAAGCAGAGAACGTGCTTTTATGATTCTGTGGAGAGAACAGCAGCGGTGAGGCTGGGTGGGAGCTGGAGTTTGCAACAGGCGACATGGACACTTAGATCAGCCTCTCTGTCTCCCTCTCTCTGTCTCTCTCTCTCTCTCTCTCTGTCTCTCTGTGTCTCTCCCTCTGTCTCTCTCTCTGTGTCTCTCTCTCTGTCTCTCTGTGTCTCTGTCTCTCTCTCTGTCTCTCTCTCTCTCTGTCATCTCCTTCCTTCCTTCCTTTGCAGTACCGCCGATTGAACACAGGGCCTTTATACTGATGTACATCCCCAGCTCTTTTCTTCGTTTATTTTCTATTTTGAGACAGGGTCTCCTTCCATGGCTACACTGCACAGCTTGTCACCCTCCTGCCTCAGCCTTCCAGGGCACTGGAATGACAGGTGTGCACCGCCGCACCAGCCAGCCTGGACTTCTCCGTGTTTCATCTGTCGGACTCTCTGAGGAGAGGGCGCCTTGCCACACAAGGCCCTCGGCTGCAGGCCGTCCTAACCTCCCTGAGCATGCTTCCCAGAGTTGTGGGCCGGGATGATCCTTATTCCGTTCGTGTGACGAACTCAGTCTCCGGAGGTGACACACAGGGGCTTGTGCCACTCCCCCCTCCCCTGTCTGCTGCTGTTATCCCTGCAGTCATCGTAGACAGGTTCAAGCTCAAGGGCAGGAAAGGAACTCATTGGTCACTTCCCACCTACAAATCGGGAAACTGAGACCCTAATGCTGAGAGGTCAAGCCGGGGGTGGAGGCGCACACCTGGGATCCTAGCACTCTAGAGGCCAAGGCAGGACGAGGACCATAAGTTCGAGGGCAGTCTGGGTGCCATAGTGAGTTCCAGGACAGCCTGCTCTACCTGGCGAGACCCTGTCTCAAACAAAAAACCCGGTGAGCGGTGAGGCAGGACCTAAGCTCACCCATGCGCGTGTCTTCAGCTGCTTCGCATCCCTGAAATCCATCCTGCCCAGAACCCACCATCCCACCCCATTTGACTCCTGGGAATTCTTCTTCCCCAGCTGGAGTCATGATGGTGCCTCAGCGGAAAACCGAGGACGGATTTGAAGAACACTTTGGCCTCAACTACCTGGGTCACTTCCTGCTCACCAACCTCCTCCTGGACAGCCTGAAGGAGTCTGGGTCCCCGGCCCACTGCTCCAGAGTGGTCACTGTCTCCTCTGCCACGCACTATGTCGGCGAGCTCAACATGGAGGACCTTCAGGGCAGGTAGGCTGCAACCTGGGAAGCTCCTGGTGGTTTTCTAGGCAGGGCAAAGGTTTCCCAGGCTCTGTGTATCTGCTGGGTGCTGCTGTGAGCTGTACATGGTGCTCAGGAACCTCAAAGCCTGTGTAGATCACCTACTATTTGTGTCATGTCCCTGGGCAGAAGTCAGACATAGAGAATGGAAAGAATATGTAAACCTCCTCTTCCACCCTGTTGAAAACATCACCCAGTATATTAGTCATTTTCTTCTCACACGGACAGAATAATCAACATTGGCCCCTTCAAAAGTGACAGGTTTCTTTGGCTCATGTGTCTAGTGCGTTCAGTCCATGGTCGGCTGCTCCAGTGCTCTCAGGGGGTTCAGTCGATGATCGGCTGCTTCAATGGTCTCAGAGGGTTCAGTCTATGGTCAGCTGCTCCAGTGGTCTCAGAGGGTTCAGTCCATGGTTGGCTGTTCCAGTGGTCTCTGAGGATTCTGTCCATGGTCGGCTGCTCCAATGGTCTCAGGGGGTTCGTACCATGGTTGGCCGACTCCAAGGCAGAAACAACATGGCAGGCAGGCATGGTAGAAGAAAAATGTTCACATCATAGTGGCCAGGAAGCAGAGCAGAGAGAAAAAACCCAGGGAGAGACACACCCTTCCAGGTCACACCTACGGTGACCACCTCCTCCACCGAGTTTGCTCCACTTCCCAGCACATTCACAATGAACTCATCGATGGAGTAACCCACTGATGAGCACTGTGTGATCATCTTCCAAAAGCCCGAGCTCTGAACACATGAGACTTTTGGAGGACCCCTTAGATCTAATCAATAACACCCACCAAGTCTGCACGTTGTGATTTATCTTAACTCTTGATGACATCCAATGCATTATCTTCTCATCGGTAGGACTCTTTGGTAGATTCCTTGCATTCCCTCACCTGTATTTTAAGTGTGTCCTTCAAAAAATCCACATGTTGGAGTTTGAATGCCCACATTCATATGTAGGTGATTTTGGGAAATGATTGAATTCAGACAACATCATAAATGAGGTCAGATGACCTCATGATGCCATTAGTGGATTTGTGAGAAGAGGAAGTGAAATCCAAGCCAGCATGCTTGCTCTGCTTCTCCATGGAATGTTCTATGCCATGCATCAGGAAGGTCCTAACCAGATGCTGGAGTCATGCATTTGGCCTTCCAGGTTTCAGAAGTGTGAGCTAATGAAACCATTTTTTAATTCCCCAGTCAGGTGTTATAGCAACAGAAGATGAATGAAAATATGCTCCTAAAGGGTAAAAGAGATCATTCTGTGTGAATAGGTGTTTTACTCCATCGGGGCCGCCATATGCAATCCCACAGCCTGGGCAGCTGACACACAGCAGAGCTTGGTGTCCAGTCCTGGAGGCTGAGGTCCAAGGTCCAGGCGTGGCAGAGCCCGTGTCTGGTGAGGCTGCTTCCCAGGTCACAGGTGGCACCTTCTCCCTGTGTCCTCACCTGGTAGAAGGCAGGGGCTCTCTGGGGTCTGTGATGAGGACGCAGATCTCATCCATGCAGCTCCACCCTCAGGACCTCAGCACCTCCAGAAGGCTCTGTGTCCTAACACCAAATCTTGAAGATAGGACTTTGAACACATGAGATTTTGGAGCTTGAATATGTTCAGTCCATTGCATTAGGTCTTTTGTTTATATTTCTCTGTTATGAAACCATGGATTTTCAAAGCATTCATGTCCTGCTTGGACAGATGTGGATGCTAGGTGGACTCGGGATCAGATTGTGGGACCAGACCAGAGCATTTATAGGAATTTGAGCTCCTTAGGCCCTGGAAGCCTCAGGCTTGAGAGGAGCTGAGGCCCTTTCGTGTGGGGGACCAGAATCTTTCATGGTCTGCATTTTTTCCTCCCCAGTGTGGGGCCACTTGGAAATAAAAGCAGACACTGGGGGCTTCTGAGGAGGCCATCACCAACCCAAGAGTGGAGCCAGGCTCCTCAGTGTGTTCCCATATCTGCTTATGAGTGCGTAACCAAAGAGGCTCATCTCACTGGATTCACCATCAAGGGCAAATGCTGCTGCTAGGCTGTGGGGGGGGGAAGGCCGGGTGTGTGACTTGTGTGAACACCATTGTGTCATGGTGGAAAGGTTTGGATGATGGGATGGACCAGACTCTGGGATGCCCCGGGCACATAAGACAGGGCCTGGTGATGTAGGGAAGAGAACGGGACAGAAATTCCCATGCAGTGGGGATGGCAGGAGACACAGCAGGGTGGAAAGGGCGGCTCCTTCGTGACACCTCGAGTGAGCGAGCCCACGAGTGAGTGCTTAGACCGTGGTTCCAGTTCCTCGTCAAGGCCACACCCCCAATGCCCTAACTTCCTCCCCCTAAGCCCCACCTCTTAAAGGCAGCACCACATCTTAATAGCGCCCCCAGCTGGTGACCAAGACTTCAACACACAAGCCTTTTGGAGTTGTTCAAACTATAGCAAGGACATCACTTTTGGGTTTGCAGTCATTATGATTTTCCTCTAAGTGCTGTGACAAATTAAATCATGAGAATTCATCCTTTACCTTAGCTTTGGAGAACAGAAGTCTGAGCTCAAGGTGTCCCTGGCCATGCTCCCATCACAGGCTCCCAGGGAGACCCTCCTGCCTCTGCCTCCTCTTGGGGCTTCAGGAAGCCCAGGGCTGCAGCCCCATCACTCCAGTCTCTGCCTCCATCTCCATGCAGCACCTCCTCTGTGTCTGTGTCTCCTCCTCTGTCTCTGGTGAGGTGAGGACGCTGCCATGGATTCAGGGCCACCCTGACCCTGGAGAGCCTCGTCTGATCCGATTCCCTCTGCAGGGGCCCTGTTTCCACATCAAATCCCATTCCTGGAGGCCAAGGTCAGGACTTCCACCCTCTTTTTTGCAAAATGCAACTAAACCCACAATATTTGTCCTCCTCCTCCTTTCTGTTTCTTCCCCAGTTTGATTATATGAAATTAATACTGATGACAGCCATTTATCTGAACCACTTCACATTTGTGCTGATTACTGTACTGGAAATAAAGAGCCTGAATTTTGTGAAGCAAATCCCAGCTCCGAGACTGTTGTAAATTTTCTTTGGTGCTAGCACAAACTCCTTCCGAATATGATTCCCTTTCAGAGTGTGTCGATTTTGAGTTCCTCTTAAAGGGGAGTATGTTAGTGTCCTAGACCACCATAACAAAACCCCATAGCTTGAGTTGTGTAAACAGCAGACGCTTCCCGTCCTCATCCTGGAGCTGCACACCCAAGGTCCAGGCATGAGCCGCGCTGTCTCCTCCAGAGGCCTCACACGTGTGCCCCTCTGTGTGTGTCTCTGTCCTTCTCTCCTCTTGTAGAAAAACTCAGTCCTGTTCAGTTAAGGCCTACCCAGTGACCCCCACCCCACCCCACCCCTGTAAAGGTCCTATCTTCAAACACATTTCGTTCTCAAGTTACAGTGGTCTGATTGATCATTTTTGGACATTGACATGGTAGGGAATCCATACACCTTTGTTTTGCTTTAGATCTGGAAGCTTCCCCAGAAGTCTCCTGTGTTCAGAAGTTAAGCTTTATAAAGATGATTGCATAGGGCCGGGGATTTAGCTCAGTGGTTTCACCGCCTGCTGCGCAAGCACAAGGACCCGAGTTAGATCCCCAGTACCAAAAAAAAAAAAACGATTGCATCATGGGGTTGCCGTACTCTTCACTGGATTCATCCATCAGTAACTCACAATGGCATCTCTTTCCCAATGGCCAGCTCCTCCCTTCTCTCTCTGCTTCCTGGCCACCATGATGTGTGTCTTTCCTCCTCCATGCCTGTCCACCATGTTTTTCCTGCCTTGGAGCAGCCGACCATGGACTGAACCCTGTAAAGTCATGAGAACCATGAGTCAGTCAGTCTCTCTTCATCTCTCTCTCTCTCTCTCTCTCTCTCTCTGTCTCTCTCTCTGCTTCGGGTCACCATGATGTGAGCATCTTTTCTCCTCCAAGCCCATCTGCCATGATCTTCTGCCTTGGAGCAGCTCACCAAGGACTGAACCCCCTGAGACCACTGGAGCAGCCGACCATGGACTGAATCCTCTGAGACCATGAGCCCAAATCATCCTCTCCTCCTTAAACCTGTGGGTGTCAGGTGTTGTGTCCCACCAAGAAGAAAGCTGACTTGTACACATTCAGTATGCAGTGTGCTTAGAATTTGAACCTTCATCTTGTCCTAGGCTGGTGACTGGAGCAGTCTTCACTCCATTCATTTCCTCAGTTCTGATGGGAAGATCACCAACACTCTTCAACACTCTTTGCTGTTGAGCTCCAATGTTTACTAGACTGGGTATATTTCATGCATTTTTTACTTTGGATACTCTTCAGTTGCCATGGGTTTCTTGTGATATCATCCCAATGTGAGCTAAGGAGTGACTGGGTAGCTTCCAATGTTCTGCGGGATCCAGCGTGTGAGGACCTCAAGATATGAATTTGGGGGATCACATAATTCAGTCCTTACCAGGAAGTTAGACCCAGCTTCCTCACTGTGGCTTGAACCACCTCCAAGAGCCAGGACATTGACAACCAGAGACAGCCCTGGGTCCCCTGAAATAGCAGTGAACATTTCATCTCTGGCTCCCTACAGACCTTCCCATAGGTGAAATGTGAGTTGCTCTAGCCCACCAGACAGCCACCCTATCAGGAGATGGTGAAGTTTTACCCTTTTGTTTCAGTGCATTTTCCCGTTTCCTTCCTCCCCCTGCATGGATTCACTGACAGGAGTGTTGCCATAGCAAGAATGGGGAGGCATTTCTTGGGAATGACTTGGGTTTCAATATCTCCACCAAAACCCACCTTGAAATGGAAACATCATTGTGAGTTACAACTCAGAGGTAGAACCACGTGGTTCTTCGCCTTGAAGAGGTGATTACAAGTCAGCCCTCCTAGATGGATGAGCCATTTCGCATACATGGACGTGTGGTTTATTTCCAAAGTGTGTTGGCTGGCGGAGCCACTTGGACTCATTGCTGTGATAATGTG